TCGTCCAATGACTGCCCCCCTGGCTGCTGCTCTATCTGGGGTGCTCCGGTCACCCCCGGCTGCCCCCCTGGCTGTAGCACTCCCAGGGGTGCTCCGGTCGCCCCCGGCTGCCCCCCTGGCTGTAGCACTCCCTGGGGTTCTCCAGTCACCCCCGTCTGCCCCCCTGTCTGTAGCACTCCCACGGGTGCTCCGGTCACCCCCGGCTGCCCCCCTGGCTGCTGCTCTCTCTGGGGTGCTCCAATCGCCCCCAGTTGCTCCCCTGGCTGTAGCGCTCCCTGGGGTGCTCCTGTCACCCCCGACTGCCCCCCTGGCTGTAGCACTCCCAGGGGTGCTCCGGTCACCCCCGGCTGCCCCCCTGGCTGTAGCACTCCTTGGGGTGCTCCGGTCACCCCCGGCTGCCCCCCTGCCTGTAGCACTCCCAGGGGTGCTCCGGTCACCCCCAGCTGCTCCCCTGGCTGTAGCACTCCCAGGGGTGCTCCGGTCACCCCCGGCTGCCCCCCTGGCTGTAACACTCCCTGGGGTGCTCCGGTCACCCCCGGCTGCCCCCCTGGCTGTAGCACTCCGTGGGGTGCTTTGGTCACCCCCGGCTGCCCCCCTGGCTGCTGCTCTCCCTCGGGTGCTCCGGTCACTCCCGGCCGCCCCCCAGGCTGCTGTGTTCTCTGGGGTGCTCCGGTCGCTCCCGGCTGCCCCCCAGGCTGCCGTGTTCTCTGGGGTGCTCCGATCACCCCCGGCTGCCCCCCTGGCTGTAGCATTCCCAGGGGTGCTCCTGTCACCCCCAGCTGCTCCCCTAGCTGTAGCGCTCCCTGGGGTGCTCCGGTCACCCACGGCTGCCCCCCTGGCTGTAGCACTCCCAGGGGTGCTCCGGTCACCCCCGGCTGCCCCCCTGGCTGTTGCACTCCCAGGGGTGCTCCAGTCACCCCCGGCTGCCCCCCTGGCTGCTGCTCTCTCTGGGGTGCTCCGATCGCCCCCAGCTGCTCCCTTGGCTGTAGCGCTCCCTGGTGTGCTCCTGTCACCCCCGGCTGCCCCCATGGCTGTAGCACACCCAGGGGTGCTCCGATCACCCCCGGCTGCCCCCCTGGCTGTAGCACTCCTAGGGGTGCTCCGGTCACCCCCGGCTGCCCCCCTGGCTGTAGCACTCCCAGGGGTGCTCCAGTCACCCCCGGCTGCCCCCCTGGCCGTAGCACTCCCCGGGGAGCTCCGGTCACCCCCGGCCGCCCCCCTGGCTGTAGCACTCCCAGGGGTGCTCCGGTCACCCCCGGCTGCCCCCCTGGCTGCTGCTCTCTCTGGGGTGCTCCAATCGCCCCCAGCTGCTCCCCTGGCTGTAGCGCTTCCTGATGTGCTCCTGTCACCCCCGGCTGCCCCCCTGGCTGTAGCACTCCCCGGGGTGCTCCAGTCACCCCCGGCTGCCCCCCTGGCTGTAGCATTCCCAGGGGTGCTCCTGTCACCCCCAGCTGCTCCCCTAGCTGTAGCGCTCCCTGGGGTGCTCCGGTCGCCCCCGGCTGCCCCCCTGGCTGTAGCACTCCCAGGGGTGCTCCGGTCACCCCCGGCTGCCCCCCTGGCTGTTGCACTCCCAGGGGTGCTCCAGTCACCCCCGGCTGCCCCCCTGGCTGCTGCTCTCTCTGGGGTGCTCCAATCGCCCCCAGCTGCTCCCTTGGCTGTAGCGCTCCCTGGTGTGCTCCTGTCACCCCCGGCTGCCCCCCTGGCTGTAGCACTCCCAGGGGTGCTCCGGTCACCCCCAGCTGCTCCCCTGGCTGTAGCGCTCCCTGCGGTGCTCCGGTCACCCCCGGCTGCCCCCCTGGCTGTAGCACTCCCAAGGGTGCTCCGGTCACCCCCAGCTGCTCCCCTGGCTGTAGCGCTCCCTGCAGTGCTCCGGTCACCCCCGGCTGCCCCCCTGGCTGTAGCACTCCCAGGGGTGCTCCGGTCACCCCCAGCTGCTCCCCTAGCTGTAGCGCTCCCTGGGGTGCTCCGGACACCCCCGGCTCCCCCCCTGGCTGTAGAGCTCCCAGGGGTGCTCCGGTCACCCCCGGCTGCCCCTCTGGCTGCTGCTCTCTCTGGGGTGCTCCAATCGCCCCCAGCTGCTCCCCTGGCCAAGGCGCTCCCTGATGTGCTCCTGTCACCCCCGGCTGCCCCCCTGGCTGTAGCACTCCCAGGGGTGCTCCGGTCACCCCCAGCTGCTCCCCTAGCTGTAGCGCTCCCTGGGGTGCTCCTGTCACCCCCGGCTGCCCCCCTGGCTGTAGCACTCCCAGGGGTGCTCCGGTCACCCCCAGCTGCTCCCCTGGCTGTAGCGCTCCGTGGGGTGCTCCGGTCACCCCCGGCTGCCCCCCTGGCTGTAGCACTCCCAAGGGTGCTCCGGTCACCCCCAGCTGCTCCCCTGGCTGTAGCGCTCCCTGCGGTGCTCCGGTCACCCCCGGCTGCCCCCCTGGCTGTAGCACTCCCAGGGGTGCTCCGGTCACCCCCAGCTGCTCCCCTAGCTGTAGCGCTCCCTGGGGTGCTCCGGTCACCCCCGGCTGCCCCCCTGGCTGTAGCACTCCCAGGGGTGCTCCGGTCACCCCCAGCTGCTCCCCTGGCTGTAGCGCTCCCTGGGGTGCTCCGGTCACCCCCGGCTGTCCCCCTGGCTGTAGCACTCCCCGGGGTGCTCCGGTCACCCCCGGTTGCCCCCTTGGCTGCTGCTCTCTCTGGCGTGCTCCAATCGCCCCCAGCTGCTCCCCTGGCTGTAGCGCTCCGTGGGGTACTCCTGTCACCCCCGGCTGCCCCCCTGGCTGTAGCACTCCCAGGGGTGCTCCGGTCACCCCCGGCTGCCCCCCTGGCTGTAGCACTCCCAGGGGTGCTATAGTCACCCCCGGCTGCCCCCCTGGCTGTAGCACTCCCCGGGGTGCTCCGGTCACCCCCGGCTGCCCCCCTGGCTGCTGCTCTCTCTGGGGTGCTCCAATCGCCCCCAGCTGCCCCCCTGGCTGTAGCGCTCCGTGGGGTGCTCCTGTCACCCCCGGCTGCCCCCCTGGCTGTAGCACTCCCCGGGGTGCTCCGGTCACCCCCGGCTGCCCCCCTGGCTGCTGCTCTCTCTGGGGTGCTTCAATCGCCCCCAGCTGCCCCCCTGGCTGTAGCGCTCTGTGGGGTGCTCCTGTCACCCCTGGCTGCCCCCCTGGCTGTAGCGCTCCCAGGGGTGCTCCGGTCACCCCCGGCTGCCCCCCTGGCTGTATCACTCCCTCGGATGCTCCGGTCACCCCTGGCTGGCCCCCGGCCCTCTTCCCTCCCTGTCGTCGCCCCCTTCGGCGCCGCGCCCGCGGCCTTTCCGCTTGGCCCGTGCCGCCCGGGCTAGTGACCCCCTGCTGATCCTGCACCTGCAACTCCTGCGACTCCCCCATCGGCAACCCCTGTTGTACGCTTCCAGTCAAGGGCTGGTTCGCCTCATGACACCCTTGCCGCCGCCCTTCCTGCGACTGGGGTTGATTCCCAATTTGACTCCCCTCCTGCACGCCTACCGGCAGCTCCCCTCGCGCCTCCTCTTGTGGCTCCTCCATCTCCACCTCCAGCTCATGCAGCTCTTGCTGCCCCCCCGCCTGCAGCTCCTGCTGCCCCCCTGCTTGCAGCTCCTGCTGACCCTCCTCTTGCAGCTCCTGCTGTCCCCGCGACTGCAGCTCCTGCCGTCCCCCCGCCTGCAGCTTCTGCTGCCCCCCAGCACGCAACTCCTGCTGCTCCCCGGCCCCCTGCTCCACCTCCAAGTCCATATGCCTATGTAGGTACATATGCCTATGTAGGTACTGATTTACTTTACATGTGTCATGCATGTTAGTTTATTATGTTTTCTGGTCTTGTGAAGTTGAATACCCCCTTGATGAGGTATCTCAAATTTCAAAGGAATATGTTTTTCCCGCTAAAGTGTACAATTAGGTGGAAGATTGCGCTTTCACGGGTTGCCTTCTGCTCAGGGAACCATGGCAGCCGGGGACAAATCAGGATGGGCCACGAGGCGTTGGGGCAGCTGATCCGCGGTTCGCTCGCAGCATCAACAAGTCTCGTACGTGCTGTCAGATGCCCACGTTTCTGGTTAGGGGCAATGGCCCATTGGGTTGGATACCCAGGAAACTACGAGAAACTGCTTCACAAAACCTGTACTGTAATTGGGTGCCACCCCGTAGTGAGGGCTGGTTGGGGGTTTTTACCACCCCGACAAGGAACCGAAATGAAAGCGTGAGGTTCGTTCATGAACAAATTCTGACATAATATTAGAATTCCAGGGGGAAACAAATATGTTTTTCGGCTAGGAGCCCGGCCACTGCCCTCTGTACTGTACCGTATCACAAACTCCGGCGCGGTGATTCCGACCTAGTGCGTCACGGGAGGGCGAGGCAGGGCAGGCAGGACCCAGCAGCAGCAGGAATCATGCATGCGAGGGTCAACAGAATGGGCATCCGACCCAACAACATCGACGGTTGAGAGAGGCACGCAGGGGCAATCCCACGGCCAACCGACCGAACCACGGCAGTCGTTGCTGCAGGGAACACTGGAGCATGGAAATTGGGTGACCGACATACGGTTAGTTATGATATGTCAACTACCCAGTCTGTGGCAAGTAGGCTAGACCTTGGGATGGCATTCTCATTTTTCCTGACCGAGGTTGACGTCTCTCGTTCCATGCACAGATTCTGCCGAGTCTTTTTTGTGACGGAACCGTGGTTGCCTGGTGGCACACTCTGCTATGATGTGATATCCAGGAGTTGCTAGTATAAAGCGCGACGAGTTGTTAGAGTCCAGTGTCTGATCTTGCCTTCGCAAGTAGCAGAAGGCCTGTGCAGCCGTTGGTGCAAGTCCTCAGCATTCGTCTACTTATCGAGAGCGTACAATGTGTCTTGGCCGCGTTGCCTGCTTCTAGCTACCAACACCGCGTCAGCCTACTTAGAGACGTTTAGAGTTCAAATCGCTGATTGGCGATCGTGATGCGTCAATTGAAACTAACTCAATCCGCCACTGGCGGATTTTCATGGCTTCTGGCCGTCGTCGCGATGGCTCTCGTCGTCGTCGCCCTAGTGGGAGATATGCTCCCTCCGTGCGCTGCTGTGAACACACAAGCAGGTACGATGACTTAGAGTCGACTCAGAACTCAACACGGAACTAAGTACGATGATCTCTTCCGGAATAAATTCGCCTCAGTACGCTTGAGTTCCATAGCTCCGAATCTAAAGCGCCTCCTTTTCGAAGACTCAACTCCGGATACTGAGAGCCCCAATTCTCTGCACTTGGAGCGCCTCAGTTCTTGGTTAGACGTGTAGCATACTATAGGAGGGGAGGCAACGAGCGGATAGCTTCGAAGCGCCATGTTCGAACTCTTAGAGCCTTAATCACGCAGTGGAAGCGTCACACTTCTTGGTTAATCGACTTTTTTGAGGCGCCTCATAAGACGCGCCTTAGTTCTGGTTAGACGCGCCTTCAAGCAGGGGAGCCATCACTCCCAATTCTCCACATCGCTCTCAATCCTCCCGCCGCTCTCGATCCCCTCCTCTATCCCACCAGCACGAAAGGCCGAATGCGAAGCAGCATATCGTGCATTGGAGTCCGTGCCGTCAGTGCTGTCGAATCGGGAAGGGATCGACGGGCTGGGACCCACTAACTCCCTGTTGTTCTGCAACCCCTCCCTCCATCCTCCCTTCCACCCCCACCCCTCCTAGCAGCAGGGCGGAGGCCGAACGCGAAGCAGTACATCGTGCATTTGAGGTCCGTGCCGTCCGTGCTGTCGTACCGGGGAGGAATCAACGGGCTGAGGGCGACAGCGACTGTAGACGATGAAGAGGATGAGTATGACGAGGATGACGGGGAGGATGGGGGTGATAATCCTGGTGGTGGTACTGGTGGCAATGGTGGTGCTGGTGGCATTGGGGGGAACGGCACAGCACCAGGGTCAGCAGCAGCACCAGCGCCAGCAGCAGCAGGAGTAACTCCAGCGCCCGCAGCAGCAGGAGCAGGAGCAGAATCAAATGAAGTATCGGGGTTGGCATCAGAATCAGGAAAGGAGTCGTTCGATGAGGATATTCTGTCCGCTGCAGTGGCTGCTGCCGAGGCAGCAGTGGAGATTGGCGGAGTGATGGGAGCAGCAGGGGGAGCAGAGGAAACAGGAAAATCAGGAGTAGCAGGTGTGGCAGGGTTAGCAGCAACAGCAGCAGCAGCAGGTGGGATAGGGGGGCGGCTAGGAAAAAAAGTGGGAATTAGAGCAGTCGCGTTTAGAGAGGCAAGGATGGACGATCTGGCGAGGCGGGTGGGTGTGCGCCTGAGGAATTTCCGATCGCGGTCGGCTGGTTTGGGCCGGAGGCTGCTGGCTCGCGTTGCTGCTGCTGCCGTGGCCGCTGCTGCAGAAGAAGCAGCAGGAACTGATGCTGTCGCTGATGTTGATAGTGGTGATGATGCAGCTTTGGGTGACTTTGAATTCCCTTTCACCAATTCTTCACTTCCGGCGCACAATGCTGCTGCTGCTGCTGCTGCTTCTGCCATCGGAACCATTCGTGGCGTGAGTTCAGCGTCAGCGTCCACGTCAGCAACAGCAGGAGCCACGTCACCCGTGCTGACAGCGCAGCAGCTGAGCGTGAGAGCGGCGCACATCATGCGCACCACGCCGTGGGGCCGCCTCATGCGACCCGACGTGCGGTTACCGCACGTGCAGGCCTTCACGCGCTTCCTGGAATCTTCCCACCGCAGTCTGCTGAGATCACTCAACATTCCAGTCTCGTCCATTTTCCACAGGTGAGACACAGTTGGGCTGTGGCGGCTAGAAATTCGGAGTCCCAGCTTCAGGTTAGCTGGGTTAGCTGTGGCTGCAAGGAGACGTTGTTTAAACCACTCCACAGAAAAGTCACTCTTGAGTTTTGTTGGCAGAGCAGTGCAGATGGCCTTGGTGCTTTAGAAGGCCAACGTCTCCTTGGGAAGCACTCAGATGTACCAATTGAGTTTCTCCTCAGTCACCTGAGGTCTTAAACCTGGGCTTCAGTCTTGAGTGAACCCGAATTCTTTCGATTCTATTCCGCCTTGCCCCTCCTCCTGTATCCTCCCATGCCTCCCTCCATTCCTCGCAGTTACTCGTACCTGATGAACAGCTTTGCAGCTCAATTGACCCCAGCGGAAGCGAAGAGGCTGCGTTTCCACCCTGCAGTGGCTGACGTGGAGCCAGATAGGAGAGTGCGCATGACCACCGTGAACTCTCCCGAGTTTCTAAAGATGGACACGAGTCTCTGGCCGGCTGCGGGCGGGCAGAGCAGTGCGGGGGAGGGCATGATCATCGGAGTGATCGACTCGGGCATCTGGCCCGAGCACCCTTCTTTCGCTGACCCGGTGAGTGCTCGGAGTGACTGAGCCCGACAGGGAGTGACTAAGCCAGACAAGATAGTGCGCATGACCACGGAGCACTCGCAGGATAGTCGCCCCTGTTCCTCGAGATGGACACGAGCCTCTGGCCAGCTGCTGACGGGCAGAGCAGCGCGGGGGAGGGCATGATCATCGGCGTGATCGACTCGGGCATCTGGCCCGAGCACCCTTCTTTCGCTGACCCGGTGAGTGCTCGGAGTGACTGAGCCCGACAGGGAGTGACTAAGCCAGACAAGATAGTGCGCATGACCACGGAGCACTCGCATGATAGTCGCCCCTGTTCCTCGAGATGGACACGAGCCTCTGGCCAGCTGCTGACGGGCAGAGCAGCGCGGGGGAGGGCATGATCATCGGCGTGATCGACTCGGGCATCTGGCCCGAGCACCCTTCTTTCGCTGACCCGGTGAGTGCTCGGAGTGACTGAGCCCGACAGGGAGTGACTAAGCCAGACAAGATAGTGCGCATGACCACGGAGCACTCGCAGGATAGTCGCCCCTGTTCCTCGAGATGGACACGAGCCTCTGGCCAGCTGCTGGCGGGCAGAGCAGCGCGGGGGAGGGCATGATCATGGGGGAGAAAGACTTTGGGATCTGGTCAGGGCACCCCTCTTTCGCCGACCCTGTGAGTGCCTGTCTTCCCATGCCCCAACGGTGCTGCATATGCTGCTGTGCCCACACGCTAGCAGGGCGTGTGCACCAAGACTGCAAACTTCCAGGCATGAGTTTCCTCATCATTGAGTCTCTACCCTGTCCCCTCTGCCAGGACCCCAACGGAGCAGCCTATTCCGCCATGCCCACGCGCTGGCAGGGCGTGTACACCAAAACGGCTGACTTCCAGGCGTGCAACAACAAGCTGATTGGCGTGCGCTACTTCATAAAGGGCGCGGAGTGTTTGCCTTCCCACCCATGTCTCTCCTGCCCGCCACCCTCCCTCCTCCCTCTCCCTCTCAGGACCCCAACGGGGCTGCGTATTCAGCCAAGCCCACGCGGTGGCGAGGCGTGTGCACCAAGACCGCAGATTTCCAATCGTGCAACAACAAGCTGATCGGCGCGCGCTACTTTTTGAAGGGCGCGGAGTATACGTTTGGCAAGCTGGACGAAACCGAAGAGTTCCGGTCAGCACGGGATAAAGTGCAGCACGGCACGTGGTGTGCGGGGTGAGTGGTGTGATGGGGTGACTGGTGTGACGGGGTTAGTGGTGTGACGGGTGAGCGGGTTGACTCAGTGAGTGGTGTGAGTGGGTTGCATGGAGCATGGCGAGCAGCATACTGGAGTGAGGGGGGTTGACTGGGTGAGTGGTGTGACTGGGTGAGTAGTGTGTGTGAGGGGTAAGTGGGTTGAATAGCATGGTTGCATGGAGCATGGCGAGCAGCACACCCAGCGCCCTTTCCCTACCCTCCCGCTCTTCCGCCCCTCCCCTCTTCCACACACCAGGGCTGCAGCAGCCCAGCGGGCAACGCAGGAGTAACCGTCACGACAGGGGGCAGGAGCTACGGCACAGCATCAGGCCTGGCACAGCATCAGGCCTGGCACAGCATCAGGCCTGGCACAGCATCAGGCCTGGCACAGCATCAGGCCTGGCACAGCATCAGGCCTGGCACAGCATCAGGCCTGGCGCCGCGGGCACGACTAGCAGTGTGCAAGGCACTGTGGACCATCGGGGGTTACGAGGGCACGGGGTGTCGAGTCGGCTCAACCGCCCCCTCTCTCCCTTCCCTTCCATTGCTCTGTCCTGCCCTACCCTCCGCGCCTCCCCTCCCCATCACCAGAGCGGCAGCGGGCAACGCAGGGGTAACCGTCACCACGGGGGGTCGAAGCTACGGCACAGCGTCAGGCATGGCGCCGCGGGCACGACTGTCCGTGTACAAGGCGCTGTGGACCATAGGGGGGTATGAGGGCACGGGTGCATCATCGGATCTCATAGGCGCTGCTGAGAAGGCCGTTGCAGACGGCGTGGATGTGATCTCGTGCTCCTTTGGCGGCCTTGCCATGTACTTCCAAGACCTGCCGTATCTCCGTGGACTGAAGGTACGTGCACTGACCATAAGGGGGTATGAGGGCACTGGTGCCTCGTCGGATCTCATCAGTGCTGCTGAGAAGGCCGTGGCTGATGGTGTGGATGTGATCTCATGCTCCTGGGGCGGGCTTGCCATGTACTTCCAAGACCTGCCGTACCTACAAGGCCTCTCAAGGTACGTGCACCGATCCTACAGCACAGCGTCAGGCAGGGCTGCTGTTGAGGCGACTCAAAAGACTAGCAGTGTACAAGGCGCTGTGGGCCATAGGGGGGTATGAGGGCACTGGGGCTTCGTCAGATCTCATAGGCGCTGTTGAGAAGGCTGTATCCGACGGTGTGGATGTGATATGCTCGTGGGGCAGCCTCGCCATGTACTTCAAAGACCTGCCGTACCTGCGGGGTCTCAAGGTACGTGCTGTGCTTTCGTAGTGATGGTTTGCTCTTATCTTGTGTCCCTAACACCATCTCCTGCTCCTGCGGGGGGCTTGCCACGTACTTCCCATGACCGGCAGTACCTGCGGGGCCTCAAGGTACGCGCTGCCTTGCACCCTAGCATGTGGTTTTCTGCCCTTAAAGGAAACCACATCCCCTACAAGGAGAAACGTGATTTTGTGCTCTTCACATCATCTTCGCCTCACATGATCCTCCCTTGCCTCCCGGCTTTCTTCCCTCCCTTTCCTGTTTCACCCCTGTACCTTGCAGGCAGGGGTAGTGACAGCCTTTGCAGCGGGCAATGAGGGGAAACCCAACCCCAGCAGCATCTGGGGCACCCTCGGGAACGTCTCGCCGTTCTATCTCACCGTGGGAGCGAGGTATGTGTTGAGTGATCTTTTGAGTCGACTCAAAAGCATCTGGGGCACCCTTGGGAACGTCACGTCTCTCCTTTCTACCTCACAGTGGGAGCGAGGTACGTTCTGAGTGAACTCTTGAGTCGACTCAAAAGCATATGGGGCACCCCTTGGGAACGTCTCTCCTTTCTACCTCACAGTGGGAGCGAGGTACGTGTGGTGGGGTGAAAGTTGGAGTGGCGTAGCGCCCGTGATCATAATGAATGGGAGTATAGCAGGCAGCGAAGGGAAGCCCAACCCTAGCAGAATCTCGGGGCACTTTTGGGAATGTCTCCCCCCCTTCTCTCTGCTCACCACAGAAAGAAACATAGGGCGTGGGTACAGGCCGACTTTTGAGTCGACTCAAAAGAGTCCATAGGGCGTGGGTACAGGCCGACTTTTGAGTCGACTCAAAAGAGTCCATAGGGCCTGGGTACAGGCCGACTTTTGAGTCGACTCAAAAGAGTCCATAGGGCCTGGGTACAGGGCCGCGCTGACTGTAGGCGCTAGGGGATGCAACCACCACCTTGAGAGGGAGGGGCGCTAGGGGATGCAACCACCACCTTCAGAGGGAGGGGCGCTAGGGGACCGCAGTCTAACTCGCTTTTCCCTCCCCTCCTCCCCACTCGCCCTCGTTTTCACAAGCGGTGCTACCCCCCCCCCCCCCACACACTTACCCCACTCCCCGTTACCGCACTCCACCCCTCGACCACCTTCAATGGGTGCAGTCTGGCTCGACTCACAGTCCACCTTACCCCACTCCCCGTTACCGCACTCTCCGTTACCCCACTCCCCGTTACCGCACTCGACATCACAATCGCGCGCGAATACAGGGCGGTGCTGACCCTAGGGGATGCCACCACCTTCAATGGGCGCAGTCTGGTTTGACTCACAGTCCAACTTCCACCTACCCCCACTCCCTGTCACTGCACTCCACCCCTCTCCCTCTGCAGCACGATAGGGCGAGAGTACAGGGCAGTGCTGACCCTAGGGGATGCCACCACCTTCAATGGGCGCAGCCTGGGCGGAACCTCTGCCACAGGCTCAGCTCTGCCTCTCATTCTGGCTGAATCAGCTCTCACGTCAGGAGGGGATCGAGCCAAGGTGAGGTTGATCAATTTCACGTGGGGAAGGGGGAGTCAACACATGGAACATGGGGAAGGGGGAGTCAACACATGGAACATGGGGAAGGGGGAGTCAACACATGGAACATGGGGAAGGGGGAGTCAACACATGGAACATGGGGAAGGGGGAGTCAACACATGGAACATGGGGAAGGGGGAGTCAACACATGGAACATGGGGAAGGGGACTTGGAGAGGTTCTGCACTGATGCCACGGGCTCAGCTCTGCTTCTTGTACTGGCTGAATCTGCTCGGCTCCCCTCCCCTCCCCTCCCCTCCCCTCCCCTCCCACCCCACCCCACCCCACCAGGCGCGGCAGTGTTACAGTGGGCACATCAGCAGGACCGCGGTTTCTGGGAAGTTTCTCGTGTGCTCTATCCTGACACGCAAGATGGGACTGCTGCTGGCAGACGCAGATCTCCTGGGGGCGGCTGCTATCCTCGTTATAAGCGGGACGCCCAAGCAGGACATGCAGCATCGCATGCCCTACACCAGAATCCCCAGCATCTTCATACATTACTCGCGCGGCAGAACGATCAAGAGCTATGTTCAGACGGATAGCAGGTGAGCCGAGTTTTGAGTCGACTCAAAACTCGACTGTGAGTGGACTCCAAAAGTCCCCCGGCATCTTCACCCAGTACTATTCGCGCGAGAGAACGATCAAGAGCCATGCTCGAACGGATAGCAGGTGAGCTCGCTGCTTGTGTTAGTCTGAAGTCTGATTTTATTAGTCTGACTCGAAGATTCCCAGCATCTTCCTCCAGTACTCGTGTGGCCGAATCAAGAGTAACATTGCGGCGAAAAGCAGGTGAGCCTGCTGCCTCTCTTTCAATCCAGGCAAAAAACAGGTGAGCCAGCTGCTTCTGTTTTCGCTTCTTTTCATTCCCCCACTCCCCCTCTCCTCTACCTTCTCCATTCCTCCTTCCCCTGCCCGTTTCCAATTTCCTCTCTCCCTTTTCCCCGTTCCCTCTCCCCTTTCCCCATTCCCTCTCCCCTTTCCCCTTTCCTACTTCCCAAACCCCGCTACACCCCTACACCCTGAACCCCTCCCTTCCCCACAGCCAATGCATCCCCACAGCTTCATCCCACACATCTTCTATCACCTTTTTCACATTTCCAAACTCCTCTGCCCTTTCCCTTTCTCGTATCTCTCTCTTCTCCGTCACCCCTTCTTCCCTCCTCTTTCCCCATACTTCATTCCTCCTCCTCTTTCCCCTTCTCCTACCCCTTCTCCTCTCACAAATAAGTTAGTCCACTACATGAGTGCACTGTCGCCCCTCACCTCCCCCCCACCCCCCCTCCCTCTCCTGTTCCCCTCCCATCCACAGCCCCATATCCACTCTTTCCGCCTTCACCAAATCTCACACCACCAACGCCCCCCAGGTCGCCTACTCTTGCCTTGCCATTTACTCTCTCCCACACCTCCCTCTCCTGTTCCCCCTCCCATCCACAGCCCCGCATCCACTCTTTCCGCCTTCACCAAATCTCACTCCAACAAATCCCCCAGGTCGCCTTCTTGAGCCTCACGCTTCCCCCTCCCCTTCCCTTCAGTCCCCTCCCCCTCCCTCTCGTCCCCCTCCCCTCCGCAGCCCCACAGCGACTCTATTCGCCTACACCGAACCTCATTCCACCAACGCCCCCCAAATCGCATTCTCTTGCGTCACAGCCACTCCCTCCCTCCTCCACTCTTCTCCCACTCCCTCCCTTTTCCCCCCCACAGCCCCACAGCGACTCTATCCGCCTACACCGAGTCTCAATCCACCAACGCCCCCCAAGTCGCCTTCTTCTCGTCCACCGGACCGCCCCGCAGCGCGCGCTACCCGCCCGCGCTCCTAATCCGCGACTTCCCTACTAATGACATCCTTAAACCCGACGTCATGGGCCCAGGGTTCCAGCTATGGGCCGCGGCGCCGGGCAAGGCCGTCGCGACCGCCGCGACGGACGCGCCAGAGTTTAACTACTGGTCGGGAACATCCATGTCCACGCCGCATTTGGCGGGGATCATGGCGCTGATCGTGCAGGAAAAACCTAACTGGTCGCCCGCGCAGGTGATATCCGCAATCACGACGACGGCGTATACGAAGAATAAAAACGGGCAGCCGATTCAGCGGGCGGATGGGTCGAAGGCGAACGCGTGGGACTACGGAGGCGGGCATGTGGATCCCACGCGCGTGCTCGATCCCGGGCTCACGTTTCACAGCGCGCAGAAGCAGTTCGTGAATTTTCTTATGGGGAGGGACCCGCTCCGAGCGAAGAAGCGGTTTTGGCGAATGGGGAAGGCTCGGCCGATTTTCCCCTGGAGCATCAATCGGCCTTCGATCGCGGTAACCAGGCTACACGGCGTTATGGTTGTGTACCGGAAAGTGAAAAACGTCTACAATCTACCGTCTATTTATACTGCAAAGGTGGACCCTCCACCTGGGTTTACAGTGAAAGTATCGCCTAAACAGATGGTTATTCCGCCGGGGAAGTCCAAGTTGTTTAGGGTTACCATCATAAGGTTTCTTCCTCTAAACGAGTTTAGGTTTGGAAGCATCTTGTGGACAGACCAACATGGGCACTCAGTACCTGTTAAGCTGGTGGTTAGCTCTCCTGTTTGGCCTTAAAAAGAAACGCATCCCATTGGATTGCATTAATTTTATAAACTAAGTCTCCCTTGCAATGCCAATATTTTTTTGCATTTATAAGCGATTCATTTTTCTGCTAGCACGGCTGCAGCTGTGAGATTGTAAGGAATTTTCTCAGGCATTCCTTACGGAGCCGACTACATCGCGTACAGCAACAGCCGACTGTTCGCCCGTTACTGCTAACGGAACTTCGCCGACTTCGCGCGCACTGTTTTGCCAAACCTCGCACTGCTGGCATGGCCGTATCGACCTACGCTTCGGGACTAGCCCGAGCCTCGCTCCAGCGTAGCACTAGCAAGTTCGCACGCACCGCGTTACCGTTTTGCATGTTTCGCGTATAAATGCTCGCTCATGCCTTCGCTCACATTTTGTACTCGTTTGACACCTTAGTGCAATTCTCGCTACCTCGATTCATTGCACCGTAACACTTGGTTATCAGAGCCCCTTTCTTTCGGACCGCGCATCTCCGCACACCAGGAAATCAACTTTTGATTTTTCACTCGAAGGGACTCACGCACCTTAGCCCCTAGGAGCCGCTGTCCTCGCGTTCTCTCGTAAACGCGTGCAGCCACGACTGCGCCTAGACTAAGACGAGCCGACGCCCTTCGTCATGGCCGAAAACATCGACGTCACCACTCTCACGCAGGAGCGTTTGAACGATCTGCTGCGACAACTGCACGAAAGCTCCGAGGAAATCGCGGCATTGACGGCAGAACGCTCATCACTGCAAAATGACCTCATGAGAGCACAATCCCAAGCACCTGGCACTCCGATTCAACCTGCACCCTCAACATCACAACACGGGAGTGTGGGGCAACCCGCGAGCGCGGCCAGTGATGGCGTCGTCCGCCCCGACGGAGACGACGACCACGGCACGACACACCCCAGAGCGACGCCTGCGGCCCCAAGTCAGCCTCGCGTCACGATTTCGGCACCAACCCACGATTCGGGACTGCCGTCACCGATGCCGCTGAAACCGCAGCGCCCGCCATGCTTTGACCCGAGTCAACGGGGTGGTCCTACCGTTCAGGCGTGGTTATTCACAATGAATGTTTTCTTCGACGCCAACTACGTCTCGGAGGACTCGGCGAAGATTCGATACGCCGTGTCGTTGCTGCGAGGACCCGCCATGGACTGGTGGCGCGTCATCGTCACGAAGCCGACCGACTACGCGACACTACCGACACGGGAAGGACAAACCGGACCCTGGGCGCCGTCGTATTTCGTGGAGGTGCCCCAGTATCGCACGTGGGACGCGTGGTGCGCAGGTCTGCGCGCTCGATTTGAGCCAATCGCGGCCTCGATCTCGGCGCGACAGAAGCTCCGCACTTGGCGCCAACTCGGTTCCGTCCAGGATTACACGAGCGGATTTCTGGCGCTATGCGAGCAGGTGGGCTACATGCATGAGAGCGAACGCATCGACCGCTACATCGGCGGCCTGAAGCAGGACATCGCTCAGGAAATCCAGCTTCGCGGCGTCACTGAGTTTCAGGAAATTCTCGCTATGGCGGAGAAGCTCGACTTCTTTCGCCGACCGAGACCGGGGTCCTACGGAAACAACACCTGGGGACATCGGCCTCGTGGGACGAACGAGAGCGCCACGATACGCGCCGTCGCCGCAAATGCCGCTGCCGCACCGTTCAAAGGGCGCTGCTTTGCGTGCAATCGGCCGGGACATCGCAAGAGCGAATGCCCGGAAAACGCTAAGGGAAAGGGGGAAGCTGAGCAGCAGACACAGACCAAGCAGCAGGGAAACGCTGGAAGTCAGTAGCAGACGGGCCCTCTACTGACAGGTCACGCCGCTCGCCCGACCCAACCGACCCTCACCGAGTGATTGTGCCGGTTCACGCAATCGACCACACCCGGCCGAATAAGGAGGGTACCACGGTAGATAGCCCTATACTGCTCAGTGGGAAAATTGGGACGGACTTAGTTAAAATCTTCGTAGATGGGGGAGCCAGCCACAGCCTCATTAACACTGCTACAGCACGAAAACTGCGACTGCCACTGGACCGATGCTTACCTGAGATCGACGCACGACTGGTAGACGGCACGCCGCTGGCAATACGGGAACGCGTAGACCGAGTTCGGATTCGATGCGGGGGTAACTTCACGTTTAGTCAGGAAATGCTCGCAACGACCCTCGACGGAACCGACATTTTACTCGGGCGTGATTGGCTGCGACGACACAACCCGCGAATTGACTGGACGACGGGTGACTGCACCGTGCGAGTGAACGGTAACAGCATCGCCTTACCTCGCTGGGGCTCGCCTGAGTCTTCGTCGGTGCGTGTCAACGCGATCACGATGAAACGCGCTGTTGCGGCCGGAGCCGACGTGTACGCGGTTGACATTCGGGAAGCCGAGGCAGCAGACAAGGGAGGCGATTTACAGAAACTGCTGACCGACGTACCGAGTGACCTGGCGGCACTGTTACAACAGTACAGTGACATTTTCCCGGATGACCTGCCGACGGGACTGCCACCTCAGCGACCGCACGATCACAGGATAGAACTGGAACCGGGGGCACAGCCAACAGTACAGCGACAGTTCCGACTGACCCAACCCGAACTAGACGAACTAAGGAAGCAGCTCGATTACCTGCTAGAAAAGGAATTCATTCGCCCTAGTTCGTCGCCTTTCGCCGCACCAATACTGTTCACACCGAAAAAGGACGGGGGTTTTCGCATGTGCATCGACTACAGGGCACTGAACAGGGTTACCATCAAATCCCGTTACCCCATCCCACGAGCCGACGAACTGATCGACCAACTGCGCACAGCCCGGGTTTTCTCGAAAATCGACCTCCGAGGAGGCTACCACCAAATCCGCGTCAACCCACCCGACTGCCCTAAAACCGCATTCCGAACACGCTACGGATCCTTCGAATACACCGTCATGCCATTCGGACTGACCAACGCCCCCGCCACTTTCCAAATGACCATGAACGAAGCATTCCGCCCGCTTTTAGATAAGTGCGTCATCGTTTATCTGGACGACATACTGATTTACAGCCCTGACAGAGCACAGCACTTACAAGACATCGAAGCAGTTTTTAAAATCCTGAGTGAGAACCGCCTACTGACCAAAGCATCTAAGTGTGAGTTTTTACAGGACCGCCTGGAGTTTTTGGGACATGTTATTTCAGCTGCAGGAGTGGAAATAGACCCGAAGAAAATTGCGACGATTCAGGCTTGGCACGCGCCGACCAACTTGACCGAGTTGCAGAGTTTCCTGGGGTTCGTCAACTACGTGCGCCGGTTCGTCCCCGACATGGCGAAACTGACTGCCCCGTTGACTGACCTGCTGAGGAAGGGGGTTGAGTACACGTGGGGGGAGAAAGAGCAAGCTGCCTTCTCGGCCCTCAAAAATATTTTGTGCTCCCCGCCCGTCCTTCACATTGCAGATCCCCACCGTCCGTTCGAGCTCGTCACCGACGCAAGTGACATCGCTGTGGGAGCAGTACTGTTGCAGGATTTCGGGAATGGCCTCCAGCCAATCGCGTACGAGTCCCGCAAGTTACACCCGCCCGAACGCAACTACCCGATACACGACCGCGAGATGCTAGCGATCGTGCACGCGTTCAAAGTTTGGCGATGTTACCTGACTGGTGCCGACGTGACAGTACGGACAGACCACCGCTCGCTACAGTACCTTCGCGCCCAACCGAATCTCAACCCACGACAGATTCGCTGGTTGGACTATCTCGAGTCCAATTTTCACTACACCGTCACGTACAAAAAAGGAGCATCCAACATCGCCGACGCTCTCACCCGCCCCACCGCCCAACTCCACGCCATCCTACTCGCCCAGACCAACCCGCTTTTAACTGGCCTATTCACCCACGGATACCGCACCGACCCATTTTTCACGACCGGAAATTCACAGCAACTGGCAGAAGCAAAAGGAGTTTATTACGTAAAAACAGGCACCAACCGCATTTGGGTACCCGCGTACTCACTACTGAGGGAGCTGCTACTGCAGGAGGCACACGACGGGATTACCTCGGGACATTTCGGGGTAGAAAAAACACGACAGCAACTGCAGCGGTACTATTACTGGCCGGAGCTGTTGACCGACGTACAGCAGCACGTGGGCTCGTGCCCGACGTGTCAGGTGATGAAGAGTTCAAGGAAGCGGAAGGCGGGTCAATTGCAGCCGATCCCACCGCCCGAACGCGCCTGGCAGCAAGTAACCATGGACTTCGTCACAGGGTTACCTTCGAACCCTGGGGGTAACGACGCGGTGATGGTCGTCGTGGATAGGTTGACGAAGATGGCACACTTCGCTGCGTGCAAAAAGTCGATCTCAGCCGAAGAGACCGCTCGCCTGTTCATCGCAGCCGTTGTCCGCCTGCACGGGATACCAGCAGCAATTATCAGCGACAGGGACACGAAGTTTACCAGCAACTTCTGGAAGAACCTCTGGGAGCAGTTCGGGACCAGGCTACAGTTCAGTTCGTCGTACCACCCCGAGACCGACGGCCAAACGGAGCGGACGAATCAGACGATGGAGCAGTTGATTCGTGCCACGTGCGACGACCCCACGACCTGGGAGCAGCAGCTGTCGCTGATCGAGTTCGCGTACAACAACGCCACATCAGCCACGACGCAGCAGTCCCCGTTCTACCTGAACTATGGGCAGAACCCCACAGTGCCCATGACGCCGAGTCCGGACAACCCAACGCCACGCGCACAACAATTCGCCGAAATCCTGCAAGCTGCCCGCGCCAGAGCCGCCGAAGCAATAAAAAAGGCCAACGTCATCGCTAAGCGCAACGCTGACCGCCACCGCCGCCCCGTCACGTATCAATCTGGAGATTACGTGCTACTCGACACGCAAAATCTGCGACTGCCCGACGTACCAAAATTACGACCGCGCTACTGTGGACCATTCCAAATCAGTCACATGATCACACCCGTCACCGCGCACCTACTGTTGCCAATTGACTGGTACATCAGCCCTTCGTTCCACGTCAGCCTACTTCGCCCATACATCCCGACCACGAGTCAACTGCCGCGTCACCGGCCACAATCAATGACTCGCCCTGCATCAGAGCCGATCATCGAGCCCGAAAAATTTTTGAGCCATCGGATCCGCCACCCCACGGGAATCAGGAGGATTGAATTCCTCGTTCGCTGGAAAGACCGCACGCCAACTGAAGATAGCTGGGTGCCCCTGAGCAACATCGAAAATCACCCTGCCCTGCAAGTGTACTTGAGAAGCCGGGGATTCCGCGATATACACGCACTCGCGTAGCGGAGGGGGCTTCTTAAGGGGGGGGGGTAGTGTAAGGAATTTTCTCAGGCATTCCTTACGGAGCCGACTACATCGCGTACAGCAACAGCCGACTGTTCGCCCGTTACTGCTAACGGAACTTCGCCGACTTCGCGCGCACTGTTTTGCCAAACCTCGCACTGCTGGCATGGCCGTATCGGCCTACGCTTCGGGACTAGCCCGAGCCTCGCTCCAGCGTAGCACTAGCAAGTTCGCACGCACCGCGTTACCGTTTTGCATGTTTCGCGTATAAATGCTCGCTCATGCCTTCGCTCACATTTTGTACTCGTTTGACACCTTAGTGCAATTCTCGCTACCTCGATTCATTGCACCGTAACAGAGATGCACGAATGATTGTAAAATACGCCCTAAAGCAGTAGTTTTAGCAGTGTATTTGGTTACTTCCGGGTACACCCTGATGCTCACTCGACCGCCCACTTTGAACACGCCCACTGCCACTCCATACGCCCAATGGTCGACATTCACAGCCAACGGCCCGCTCGTTACTGGCCCACGACAAAACCAGGACATTCTTGACCTCGAATAAGCTAATCTAGTTTTCCAGACAAAACACGCTGGGCTACCCACAATTATAGCGACTGTTCTACATTCAGTCCCATTTTACCCCTAGTGAGCACTTGCTCGAGAGAGAAGCATAGGGAAAGATGGGGAAAGAGACTGAAATAGGCATCAGGTGTAACACATAAACAGAGGGACAGGCGGCGACTATTGGACATGCAAATAGTCCAAACAAATGACGTCATGCAGAGGTTCTTCGAAACTTCATGAAGTGTGCACCGGATTTTGTTTTTTTAATTACACAAATACGCTAGTGTACTGTTAGTTCGATCATCATTGCTGTAATTTGTGCCTGTTATCACCTTCAAGTCAATATCCAAACCTAGGTCACATTCTCGGTGTTCGATTTTTGTGCCCTTTTTTTGTGACATTTGTCCAGTTTTAGTGATAGCGACCCCTCAATCGTGCCTTGGTTTTCCAGATCAATCGAACCACTGTACAGCGCTTGTACACCTAGTCTGCGGTATTTTAACCGCCGCTATCTTAACCACGCGAGGGTACTTTTCCTTTATCAAACTTATTTAGTCGGGTTGTTTTGAACTTTACGAGGGTAGAATCTAGCATTCCCTTCGCGAGATGATAGCAGAAAAAACTCAGTGAATGCCGAGTGTGACAAATGTCAGTCCGTCTATCTTGGAGCACTAAGTGTGAGTTCCTTAGAAGGAAGTGCTTTCGGCTGCAGAATCGTAGCCTCGATGACTCCTGGTGCTAAAAACATTACCCAGAAACGAACAAAGGGGGTTTGAAAGAACAAAGTTCACCTGGTTAAAATACCGCGGACTAGGTGTACGTCACCCGCATTGATTTCGACACCCACAATGCTGCACACTTGTACGGATCGCCCGTGTGAGAAGGAGAGTACAGTTGCCAGCTATACACCAGCACCAAGGACTATTGGCGGGAACTTTACAAAATTATTAATGCGGCACAAGGGCTTTGCTGGCCAAGTGTTTGGGAACAGCGTGGATGTTGCCCCCTCAACTTGCTACCTTAGGATCAATATCTTCTCGTTGAGATATCATTCTCTGACTCGCATCCGACGCACTTGCCAGCTTTCCACGAAACGAGGAGTTTCATTGGCGTATGGCTTCTACGAAACACCTTGATTTGCTGAATAAAGCGTCACTTGTTGTCCAGCTGGGTCGAATCGGTCAAAACCATTCAAAGTTGCGCGAATCCGTGACGATTTGGCGTCACACTGAAAACTCTGGCGGTCGCGCCGAGAGGCGTGCGAATCGGGGCCTTGGTGTGCAGGTCAAACCGATTATACGGTTTGTGCCACGCACATGGGAGAGTGGTGTGCCCATGACATGGATCTGCCAGCCGTTTATACGAATGACCTGGATTTCTAGATTTTGGTGCTGGCCTGATGGTGGTGCTTGGTGTATGGGAGTCTGGGACCACATGGGGCAGCGACCAAATGTTCTATAGCCTTTCTAGGCGCACATTCCTTGTCCTCCGTGTATCTGACCTCCGTGTACTGTTCAAGACCGTCAGGAACTAGTCTACTGCTCCTTTCAGATGTCCGCAAGTGGCAGAGTAACGTTCTACTGTAATATCCTTTCGTTGCCCATTTATCCCTAACCTTCCAATCAGCCCTCAAAGTTCACGGGTCAGCCAGGTGACGGGTGAAGTGTTTCTGCCCGGACAAGACCTTCAACTTCCATTGGTCGTTCACGGCTAAGCACAACATCCATTCTGCTGACAGCAATTCTCGGGCTCAACTGCAACATTTGTGACACAAAGAGCTGTTCAGTATACACATACTGTACAGTTCAGGTAGAGAGACCTGCCCTGAACCCTTCTACTCCCACTTTTACCTCCCTCCTCTCTTCCCCCATTCCCTCGATTCCTCCCAAATCGCGTGAATAAATCGGGTAGGGGAAATGGAAGCGCAGTGCTGGCAACATTATGGTGTGCTGGCGTGGGTTGACTTCGACTGTACCGCTAGACGCCGAAATTCTTCTGCAGGCCGGGTGGGCATTGCTCAACCGCCAAGTGCGCCTCACTTGATCTGAAGTTCCTTCCCTCGCTGAACTGAACTGAATCCTCCCCAGTTTCTCTTCCCCATTTTCTCTCCTCACTTCCGTGCAGCACAGAATTCCCACAGCTGCACAGCACAGTTCGCACATGCAGCTCACAGAGCTGTGCAGCAGTGCAGCACAGTGAGAAGAAAACATAAGCGTTTGCACTGCGATGCGTGAAGTACAGTACTGAAGGCGTAACAATTGGCGGTTGAAGCTCTTTTCTCCCTTCAACGTTCTCTCCTTTCGTCTGGGCCATCCCTCCCTCTCTCGTTGTCGTCCCGTCGGCACATCAACCCTTGTTCATACCTCCCCCTGTCTACACTCAGAGAGGACCTTCACCAAGCCCCCCTTTTCTCAACATTGCGTCTACCTCTCGCTCAGCGGTTATCAGTCAATGCCACAGCCGTCTGTGGCTCATTCTTGCAAATATCTATCACTTCTTACCTTGATTCTTGGCCACTCGTTCTGTTTTCAACTCTCTGTTACCGTCTTTTCGAGATATTTGGAGCAGCCCATTCAACCCCTGGCTTGTATTTCCGCGCGCCGCCGTTTCTGCGGAGTTTTCTTCAGCCTTCGCTTCTAACGCGCTGCTCTTTCAACCCGTACCGAGATATTTCGTTCCTTCGTCTCTATCAATTCTGCTTCGGCACATCGCCAACATTAGGTTTCTAGATTTTACGTTCCTGAAGCTCACGACGAGCAGCCATGGAAAACGTTCGACAGCAGCCATTCCCTCTCGCCTTGCCCAGCAAACCCTACCACGGCGCGTCGCAGGCCTGCGTCCTCGCAGCTGATTCCGGCTCTGCGACAGCATGCGACGTCGCATGCAAACCTCAAGCGACGATGCCCAAATCTCTGTCAGCCGGACCATGCGTTGACACGGGGCCCGGTTTCTCCGCCCGCCGCCTTTTGCGGCCGTCTGCTCTGGCGATTCCGTTCACTTCTGCGTTTCGCGTCGCATCAGCCGCTGCGATGTATTCGTCTCCGCAATCCGCGCGCGACCCGTTCTCGCTGCTGCCAGATGAGCTAATCGTCGATATCTTCGCCCGCGTCGGCTGCGGCGCTGCTGACGTCAGTATCATATCGCTGACGTGCAGACGCTTTCGCTCTCTCACGCGCTACGTCCCAGCGCTCCGTTTCGCCCCATCTGACGTGGCAAACGGTGACCGCGTTGCGGTGACAGCCTCTCCCACGCGACTCGAGGAGCTCGTGTCGCGCATGGTCCTGAAAACGCGGTCGCTGCAACACCTCCACGTGGCGTCGGTGTTGGCCGCCGACGGCGCTGGTGCCTGTTCTTGCTCGGAGAATGACGGCAGCGGCGCGGCGGAGCGGCATCATCACGCCGCGTGCGCTGGTGCTGGCGCGAGTGGCAGCGACTCGAACGGCTGCTGCAATTTCTGCGGTTGCCACGTGGCGGCTCCGCAGCAGCACCCGCGCGAATTCATCTTCGAAGCGTGGATGCGCCACGTCGGACCTCAATTACAATCGCTCGTCTTCTCGCGCTCCCTGCAGCCTCCGCCGCGCAGCAGCAGTTGCGCCGGCTCATGCGGCGGTTCTTCCGGCGCGACCCGCGGGATGACGGTGAACGTGTGGGAGAACGAGGATCTCAGCGTGCATTTGCGCCACGTGGCGCGCCATTGTTCGTCGCTGCGATCCCTCTCCCTGGGCTCCCTGTCGCTCTCGTCGTCCCTGCTGACGTGTCACCTGCCGCAAATGCGACACCTGGAGCACCTCTCGCTCTCCTGGATTCACGCGTCCAATGAGAGCCTTCAAGCCGTCCTCGACGCTTCGCCAAACCTTCGCCGCCTCTCCATTTTTATGGCCACGGGCTGCCCGCGGATAAATCTTCGCCTGCCCGCTACAGTGGAGCACGTCGAGCTCGCGTATCTGCGCGCCGAGTCCTGCTCCTTCCGTAACGCCCGCGCGCTCCGCTCCCTGTCCGTTCGAGACATGTTCGTCCGCTCCGTCTCGGTGCGCGACGCGCCGGTTCTGCGCCGCGTGGCGGTCGCGAGCGCGAGCGTGCTCGAGGTGGCGGCTCCTGATTCGCCGCTCCTCGCCTCGCTGGACCTCAAAGCCGGGTCGTTCGGCTGGGCGGCGATTAAAGCCCTGGTTCAAACCGCGGGCGCGTCTTTAATCTCCTTCTCGCTAGACTTCTTCTCCGCGGGACCCGGTGCGATTTGCGCTGGAGTGTTCTCCTTGACCTGGCTCGCAGCCTCGTGTCCGAACCTGAAGGCGCTCAGCTTCGGCGCGCTGCCGTGGCAACTCGTCGTCTCGTGGGCGGCCGCGGCTGGCGCGTTCCGCGCGGACGGCTGGCGCGCGCAAGGCGGGTACGCGGAACGCGGGTACGAAATGCGCGCGGATTACCCATGGCCGCAACTGGCGGAGATTAAGGTGCGCGTGCAGGAGGAGCGACCCGAGGCGCTGCTGCTGCTGCACACCATGCTGTGCCGCATGCCGTCCCTGAGATCGCTGCAAGTAAGCTTAGTTCCTGGGGATGATGAGGAGGAGGAAGAGGTAGAGGAGGAGGAGGAGGAGGAGGAGGAGGAGGAGGGAGATGAGGGGTATGAGGGAGAGGAGGTTGAAGAGGAGATGGAGGAGGGGATGGGGAAGGAGGGGGAGATGGAGGATGAGGGAATGGGGGAGGAGGAAGAGGAGAAGGATGTCAATATGACTGGAGAAGAGGCGGATGGCCCTATGAATGCCACCGCAGCAGCACCAGCAGCAGCAACGCCAACAGCAGCACCTGCTGCCTGCGCTACAGCCGGTGGTGCAACAGCCGGAGCAGCAGCGGAGTGCATGGGGGCAGTGAGGTGGCAGGAGCTGTTTGTGAAAGGGCTGATGTGCCTGCAGCAGCGCTTCTCACATGTGCGGGTATGTGTGCCGGCCCCAATGCACAGAAGGGATACCGTGTGAGCGGAAGTGTGGTTTCTGACTCGACTCAAGAGGCGGCAGGAGCTGTTTGTGAAAGGGCTGATGTGCCTGCAGCAGCGCTTCTCACATGTGCGGGTATGTGTGCCTGCTGCTGCACACAGAAGGGACACCGTGTGATGGGATGTGGGATGTGAGCCGAACGGAAGGGATACCTGTCAGCGGTAACACGCCTGTCAGCAGCAGCGGCCAGCCTGTGTACCAGAAGGGATAGTACCATGTGCCACCAGCCACTTTCTGCTTCATTACAGGCACACCCATTCTTTCATGGCTAAGTTACAGGCCAGCAGCAGTACATTACCAGTAGTGTTCAGAGCGCCTAGTCATACTAGCGCACTAGTATAAGCATGTGTTACTATATACAGTAGTATATATACATGTACACACTATTACAAAATTATTATTCTCTGACATTATTCTGGCTGTTCCTCCCACAGAGATTCTGTGATGCGTGTTCATTCAGGGTCAAATTGTTGGATCTGTTGTTACTCCCACAGTGCAGGATGCATGTAGATTTCCTGTCAGAGACTCTTTATAGCCCAATGCAACCATTGCACGGTGGTGCAGCGCAGTTGCATGGGAGGTACGGTACGGTACCTAGGCAAGGCACTGTACAATTTTATGCAAAGCCAGACCTTTCAGCAACATACAGTACCCATTCGTTTATGGCTATATTGCAGCAGCACCAGAACGCTGGGCTGGGCCGGAGCCAGATGTTACAATTGCAAGATGGTGCAGCAGCATGGGGGGGGGTGTAAGCACAGCACAGTTTGATTGTGCAAAAGCAAACATTGTGAAAGCTTTGCTTAGTCCATCTTGCAAAGGCAACGTGCTTCATTCCAAATGGGTCTTCTGAGGCAAGTGCATTATGGGTCGGCGGTGCCTCTCCAATGACTGCTGGTGGCTAACAGGCGATGGGGCGGTGGAGGTGTCCTGCAGCTGGGTGGAGAGGTCGATGAGTTGGTCTTGGGCGATGGTGACGTAGAGGTCCTTCGCGCCGTCGCTTCGCCATCGACCCATTCGTTTGAAGAGCTGGTCGGGGATGCCTAAGGCAGCTGCTGCTGTTGCTGCGCCCTTGCGGAAGGAGTGTGTTCCGATGTGCGTGGCGTCCAGCCCTGCCTTCTTGCAAGCCTCGAGGCACCAGCATCGGATGGTTGTATACGAAGGCGATTTGTAATGCGGCGAGGCTTGTGCCCCTTTGTTGAACACCCGGATCAGTGGCCCGTGTGGCGTATCCGCGAGGCCCGCGATGCGAAAGAACTCCCGTGTGCATCTCACTGCGCAGTAAGGCCCTGCCGTCGCCGCGACCGGGATCCACGTGCCCTTGCCTTCCTGGTCCGTCTTGGAGTACAGGATTAGGAGCCACATTGCCGCCCCTTCGAACTGGATGTCGTTCCATTGGAGGGATATCAAATCAGAGTAGCGCAGGAATGCTGCGAACATCAAGAGAGGTATCAAGCCTTTCTGATATTCCGCCGGCATCGTTGACTCCAGGAAGGGTCGTGCCATGTTGTGCACCTGATGGAGTGACACGGGTCCCTTGTGTTGGAAACAATAGTTCCTAAGCGCCTCTGTCGTGTCGAAACACTAAGGCACAAGCGAAGCAGAGCATATCGAGGCACCAGCAAGTCAACCCTCGGAGGTTGAAGTAACCGCTGGAGGTTACGCGAAAGTCAAAGGTCAGCGACCTTTGACCTGACAAATGCTGCGCGACAGCAAGGACACACAACTGACTCTTTACAGAGCAGTTGCCCGAGTCGTCACTGTATCGAACCGCAACAGCAACAGTAAAGTAGTTATAACTGTGTCTCTTCATATTCTCTGTATTCATATATAATCTTGTATCTCTTTGCTTTAATCAATTCACTTTGCCCTCACATACTAGCGCAAGGTGGTTCACAAACTCTTTATAAAGACGCTTCCGCTACTACATCAACTCTACCCAGAATTCACCTCTGCAAAGATCCTAAGGGCTTTTTCAGCCCAACATGGTATGAGAGCTTTCAGGGGGAATTCGACTTATATACCAACACTGTCAATCAGCATGGCTACACAAAAGGGAAGGAGCAACTCCAACGGATCCCAGGGCACTACTCCTACTCCACCTCCTGCCTCTGGCCTACAGACAGAGGAGGGCACGGCAACAAGACCCAGAGCAACATCTACAGAGACTCCCGCAAATCATCCTGCGGACTTCGACCAGAGCATGATGGAGAAGTTCTTCTCCTTCATGTCCTTCTACGAGCAACATCAGCAATCGGCACCTGCGGAATCACACAACAGCAACAACAACGGAGCAACACCCATGAGTCTCAACGGCTCATCGTATGCACGAGGAAATCAGCAACAACAGCCTACCTTTGCTCCGTACGAGCGCGGATCCATCAGCTTCATGCCACACCTGTCAGAGGTCCACTGGTGATCCCCGATTGATCCTAGGGAAGGGTTACATGCACGTTGGCCTGGGGGGTTATGGGCGCACTGACCCGCTACTTAACAAGCCCTTTTATCCCAATGGTCTAGTGGTTGGGATTCTGACATGGTATCAGAGCGAAGGTCTCGGGTTCGAATCCCGGTGTATGCACTTCGGGCATCCCAGTGCGGGGGGGTGTCAGAGGTCCACTGGTGATCCCCGATTGATCCTAGGGAAGGGTTACAGGCACGTTGGCCTGGGGGGTTATGGGCGCACTGACCCGCTACTTAACAAGCCCTTTTATCCCAATGGTCTAGTGGTTGGGATTCTGACAACACCCACAGCCCTCACCTGGACAAGAAAAACAACTGGACGCACTACAAGTTCAGTCGCAGTTTGCACATGTTCTGAAGATGCAGACGTCAAGACCTTTCGATGGAAAGGATTTCTTCACCTGGTCGTTCGAGTTTGAGCTGATGATGGAAGGCGCGCAGATACTCGGGTTCTTCGACGGGTCCCTGCCATACCCAACAAACGGCACACAGTACGAGAAGCAGCAATACACCTATCAGTCAATGATGGCGTACACGATCCTACTGAGAAATATCACCCCGACTCAACAGCAAAACATAAGGACTTACCGAGGTTACGGTAACTCCGCGGAGCTCGCGTACAACCACCTGAAGAGCCTGTATCAAGCAACAGACAGTGTAAGTCAAAGTCGGTTAATGGCACAACTGACAACGGTTGAAATGAAACCAGGGGAGAAAGGAATGGCGTATATCAGTCGATGTCGCGAATTGCGCGACAAGCTTCTTCGATGAGAAGGATCGATTTCAAAAGACGCCTTCGTGACAGTCATCATCGGCGGCCTCGGTCCTCAATGGCGCGCCACAAAAGCCATCCTCCGAGCTCACGGAAGAATCTCCGAAGCAGCGCTCTGCGCCGAAATCCATGCCGAGCAGCAAGACATGGACTTGCAAGAAGAACGACACAAAAAGAAGACTTCAGCACCAGAGTTCGCGTTCCACACCCAGCGATGCTACAACAACAACAACAACCGGCAGCAACAACTGAAGCCAGTACCTCCGTTCTGCCACATCTGCAAAACTTCAGGACACCCGCGCACGCACTGCCCGAATCGTCAACAATCAACAACCCCGCAGCGGCAACTTCGGCCTTCAAGCAGCCAAGTCGCCTCAACGCAGAAAAATCCTACGACTCAGATTCAAGCTTCAAAGACTTCAACAGGACAACCTGCACAAGAAGCAAGAAACATCGTCAGCTGCATGACAAAGATAACAGACTCCTGCATCACCGAGTCACCACCACACTACTCACCGGAAGAACAACTCGACGAAACCACACCCCGACGCGAGTCACTTCAGCCGAACCCGACATACGCCGCCATCGCTCAAAGCGAACCATCCGGAAGGGACACTTGGTTCTTGGACAGTTGCTGCGGACAACACATGTGTTCCTCAGGACGCTTCGTTCAACGTGAACACCAGCTTCAACGCGAAGTCGTCATTACAGTCGCCAACAACCAAAACCTGCGAACACGACGACAAGGCGTATTTCAACTTCAGTCAAGGGAAACAAACGTCGTACTACACATGTCAAAGGTACTAATCGCGGAGGGACTCGGCTACAACTTACTGAGCGTCAGCCAGCTGATGGCGAAGGGGATTCATCTCGAAGCAAACAGTACCACTCAAGAATTCAAGCTGTATCACGGGAGAGGAGGACTCTACATCGGCAGGGCGGTCCTCAAGAACAACGTCTTCGTTCTTGATTTCGTCCCTGACCTTGGCACTGCCGACAGCGACGCCATCGTCAACTTCACCGACTGGACACACCCTCCGGACCTTGATTCAGACTTCAGTGGAGAAGGCTTCTGGTACTCACATACCATCCCTGAAGCAGAAAGAACAAGGGCGTTAGCAACAATCCAGACAACATCGGCAGCAGCAGAGACAACATCGGCAGCAGCAGAAACAACATCGGCAGCAGCAGAGACAACATCGGCAGCAGCAGAGACAACATCGGCAGCAGCAGAGACAACATCGGCAGCAGCAGAACCATCAACGGCAGCAGCAGGAATGTCAACACCAGTTGCTGGTCCTTCAACGACGCCACTCCTCATCGACGACACACCACCAACACCAGCGCAACAACTGCACCCAGCGCCACGAGAAGCTCATCGCAGCACCAACTTCACCGCCAGCTTCTACTCCGACTCCGACAACAGGCGATCACGCACCGGCTACATCTACCGTCTCGAGCCTATCGGGCCTATCTCCTGGCAATCGAGCAAGCAAGAACTAATTGCTCTCTCGTCAGCTGAAGCAGAATATATTGCACTCTGCTCAGCCACCAAGGAAGGATTCTATCTTCGCGAGCTATTGGAAGAAGCGAAGTTAGCCGAGTTACACAACTTCACCCTGTTCTGCGACAACCAGTCGGCAATTCGCATCGCCAACAAGAACGGTTTCGCGAACAGGACGAAACACATCGCCCTACGATACTTCTTCGTGAAGGACGAGATCGAGAAAGGAAGGCTTGAACTGTCATACTGCCCCACGTCCGAGATGGCAGCTGATTACCTGACCAAGAAGCTCGGAAAGCAGAAGTTCGAATATTGCATGCTGCTGACTGGATAGAGCCACGTCAGCGACACTCCAGAAGCGAAGGGGAGTGTTGGAAA